ACGAGGGTTCCTTTAGTAGTGTTATTGAAATCACAACCAACAACCATTGGCCGCTGAGCGGTCCCTGATTCACAGGACCCTGATTCACGGGACCCTGATTCACGGGACCCTGATTCACGGGACCCCATGTGTCGGAGTAGAACTGCACCACATTGGATTTTCTTTATATTCTTTACATTTTATTTTGTTGTTGCTAAGAAAACGCACAGCAAAACCTCCACCAAGTCTACAGTTTCTGCTAGTACAATTTAGTGACCTTGGTAACATTGTTGAGTTGTGTGGCTGTTCCCACCCTCCTTTGATAAATTGCTCCTCCCTCATGAGGATACACTCACTGCCCCCTAAGGTTCCATCTCATCTTTCAGTTTGACCCCAGATAGGGAGTTCTTAGAAGTCCTGGTATGGTGCTGTCGGATCAGCATTGGACTGCTAATCACAGGCTGGCGGTTCAAACCTACAAACTGCTCCTAGGAAATCCTATACAGGGCCGCTATGAGTCAGAGCAGACACCACAGCACTTAACAACAGCAAGCTAGTTCTTCAAAGAGCATAATGCTCAAGACAGAACTTTAAAAAAAATTTTTTTTTATTGTGAATTGAGTGATCATTTACATGGGAGAACATTGGTTTTATACTCATCCTATCGTATTTCATTTCATTGCAATGATTACAATCCCCTCCATGCATCATCAGCATTCAACAGTGTTTGCTTCTAGTCCCTCTGTTTTATGTGTTGTTTATTCAATTTTGGATGTACACAAAAACTCTCAGGAATATGTAACCATTTAAACAACCAAAGAGCACATTCTGCAAGAAGGCAGACCTTTTTTACTCGTTAAGCTAAACTATTGTTTGGTTTTCAGACAAAGTTCAAGGGCTATTTTTTGTTTAAGGTTCAAAGACCATCTCAGGACAATAGTCTTGGTGTGGCGCTGTAGGACAAGCACTGGAGAGCTACCCACAAAGTCAGCGGCTCAAACCCACCAGTCACTTCTTGAAAACCCTACACAGGGTTGCTATGCATTGGAACTGACTCCACATCAGTTAATAACAACAGGGCAACAGTTTCAGGGGTTCATATAGCTCCATCCTGGCTCCAGAAAGTCTGGATTCTGTGAGCCTTTTAAATTTCTCTTCTACATTTCTCCCTTTTTGATCAGGATTTGGCTGTGGAATCTTTGATTCAATATGGACAGCTGGACTGCATCCATTTCTTCTGGTCTCAGCAAAGGAGGCAGTTGTTCATGGAGGTCATTAGCCACCCACACCATTTCCCCCTCCTGTTCCTCACTCTCCCTCCTCTGTTGCTCCCGGGGACTAGAAACCAATTCTTGTGCCTTGGATGGCCGTGTGCAAGCTTTTAAGACTATGTAACTGACTAGGATGCACTAACAGCATTATTAGGCCAATTCATCGGCATGTTCCTGAACTTCCAAACCAAGGAACTCAGTTCCATGAGATGTTTGGTTGCACAGAAGCAGCCTCAGCAGCGAGTCTTGGGTTGTTGTTGTAAATTCATCTTTCTCCAGGTGTACGACTTATTGACAGTAATCACAACGAGCAGCTGTTCAAGCCTCCATTAATCAATAAATCTCCCACCCCTGGTCACCATCGGCAATCTCGGGTCTCTATGCATTTGCCTTTTTATGTAAGTGAGATCATACGATATTTGTCTTTTTGTGATTGACGTATGTCACTCAGCATGAGGTCTTCAAGCTCCATTTGTATTGTAGTGATGGTGGTGGTGGTGGTGGTGGTGGTGGTGATGTGCCTGGAGTCGGTTCCAACTCATAGTGACCACGCATAGAGTCTCTGAGGCTGTAAACCTTTATGGGAGCAGAAAGCCTCATCTCTCTTCCGCAGAACCACTGGTAGTTTCCAACTGCTGACCCTGAGGTTAGCAGCCCAACTCGTAACCACTATGCTACCAGAGCTCCTTCCATATTTTAATATCAAGACCATATTTCTCTTACTGCTGGAGTATTCTTCCGTTATATGTCTGCACTCACTGCCTTTTATTTCATTTGTGGCTGGGAATTAAGGTTGTTTCCACTGTTTATCTCTCATGAATAGAGCTACAATGAACAGAGCTGTACAATTCTCTTTTTAAATGTCTGCTCACAGGGTTTGCAGTGGCTGAGTTTTCAGAAGTAGGTTGCCAGGTTTTTCTTCTGAGGTACGTCTGAGTGGGTTTGAACCATCAGCCTCTTGATAGCAGTTGAGCATGTTCACTGCTTCCACCACCCATAGCCATGGAGTCAATTCGGACTCATAGTGACCCTGTATGTAGAACTGCTCCCTAAGGTTTCTGAGACTAAATCTTTATGGGAGAAGGAAGCTTCATTTTTTCACCCCAGGAACTTTTGGTGGATTTGAACTGCTGACCTTGCAGTTAGTAGCCCAGCATATGCTTAATCAACATTAATCAATGTTTATTATATGAACTGAAGTAGATACTTGATGTGTATATCAAAATGCTTTGGTAGTTTAGTGATTATGAATTGGGCTGCTTAACCTCAAGGTCAGCAATTTGAAGCTACCAGTGATTCCGTGGGAGAAAGATGAGGTTTTCTGCTCCCATAAAGATTTATAGCCTTAGAAACCCTATGCAGGGTCGCTATGAGTTGGAACCGAGTCCATGGCACATAACCACCCCCACCATATATGTGTGTGTGTGTATCTCACGCACACAAAGACATACATAACATTTGTCACAGTACTTAGTAACCCTCACAAAATGCAACCTCTTCAATAAATGTAGAAGGAAGAAAAGTAAGAGATGGAAAAAAAAATGCTTATCTGCAATACAGCTTTACCAGTCTAAAACAGTCAATTCCTGAGTATCCTTGGCTAAGTTTGTGAATGCACAATTCCTTTCCCCTCCTCAATTTATCTTTCCCTGGCATAGTACCAGCCTCCTTCAATTACAGAGCTTTCAAATCATGCTTCACTATCTATAGGGCAAGGCCTGCCTCGTAACTATGCTTCCTCCAAGTGTTCTTGGCAATTCTCACAAGTCTTTTCTTCCACACGAACTCTTGCAATCATTTTTTCCCATTAAAACTGCACAGGAGCTCTAGTGGCTTTGCATTCCCTTCTGGTATTAGCTCCGGAAGGCTGGCCATGTGTGGTGTTGGGCTAGAGAGCTGGGGACTGGTTTCTAAAAGCTTCCAGGTGAGTGGGGTTCCTTCTCATTTGCCTCACTGCTCTCCCTGGGGGCTTTAGGGATGCCTGAGAACTCAAGTACCTTGCTTTTGTTCCAGAAACTCCTGGAATCAGGAAGGTCCCCAGAAAAGGAACCTCAGAACCCGCTGTATAGAGGAAGGCCATCTTACCCCTCCCTGGAGTCTTGCTTTCACCCCCTATCTGGGTCCATCTGGAATCTCTTCAGCTGCAGTTCCTCCGACTGAACTCTGGACTCTGTCCTAGCTGGACACAGATACCCCGTGGACCTCTCCTTACTTCTTGCTCCCCATGTTGTCTCCCTCTCCTCCAGTAACTCTAACCTCCTCACCTCTTCTCCATCTGCTCCCTGCCCTCCTGAGCAGGCAGAGTGACCAGCAGAGCCCTGAAATCTAGGCTCACAGGACTCCCTCTGGCGGCCCTACCCAGGGAGCATGCTCAGGTTCCCTCAACCTGGGAGAGCTCAGGGAGAGAGAGAGAGCAGGACTTGGTACTGGAAAATCTAAGCTAGCCCTGGGAGACCCTGGGCCAGTCCCTCATCTGACCCAAGTCTGTCCACCTCCCTTTTCATTTGTCAAATGAAACTCATGCTTTTTTTCCTTGAGGGTGGTGTGGTACCAGTTCCGAGCAGACACTGATCAGTGTGCAGACAGAATAACCGCTAAGTGCTGAGACACACACCCGTCCACACTCAGTGACTCCGCTGTGGGAGGACTCGTTGTCCAGCTCCCGCATGGCACCACCCTCTGCTCTCCGCCTCAGAGCTGGGTGAATCAGAGTTGAAGTATTGGAGTCTCAGTGTTCTCATTCATGAATGGGCATATGAATCACAAAAAACCTCAGTGTGGTACCATCTTTGACAGCAGGCTTTGGCTGGACCTGAAGGTCTTGGATTCCTAAGCTCTTCCTGCTGCCCACCTCCTGCCCACCTGTGCTCTGTCTTTGCTGCCCATACCACACTGTCCCTTTGGGTTACCACATGACTTACTCTCCTAGCTTTTTGATGAGACAGACCTTACATAGTCCCTTTGCTAGGTCTGCCCTGAATAGAGGTGGGTGGTGAGACTCCTCAGTATCCACCCTGGGGACAGTAGGTTTCATACCAGAACCCAAGTGTGCACATTCTCCAAACTGTGGAGTGCTGTGCCAACTCAAGGTGGCAGCAGTTGTGGTTACAAAGCATTCCTGCCTCTGTTTGTTGAGCATGGATTTTTTGTTTAAAGGTGGTAGTTTCCTTTCCAACTTTTCTTGCCTTTTCCTTCTCCATTCCTTCTGGGACTTCCAGCTGCCCTGAAATTATGTCCCTTATAGATGCAATTTTCAAACTCAAAGGACAGGAGACGTATCCTCATGTTATCAACTTCTGAAGCTCAGAGAGGGTAAGTGACCAGTCCGAGGTCACACAGCCAATGGGGGCACAGGTCCCCTGACTCCTGACCCAGGGAGCTTCTCTCCCTTTCGCTTTGAGTCAGGTAGGAAAGGAGAATGTGGAGGACCTGGTTGGGTGCCCCCGTCCCCCCCCCCCCCCCACATTTTTTCAACACACAGTCAAAATGCCCCACCGGATCGAAAGCTTCAGTGTAAACTGCTGAGACACATCATCGCTCCAGGAGGTGTCCCCTCTTCCCACTGTGCTGAGACCCACTGTCTCGGGGCAGCCTGTTCCCTTCAGTCCCCCGCCACCTCTCCATGGCCCCATGCTGCTGCCCACCCCTTCAGACCCTCTCATATCCCACCTACACTCCACAGTCATTCAGCGGGACTGGGTGGGAGAGGACCCGCCCCTCTCTGAACCCCTTCAGGCAGGCAGGACTCACCGAAGCCAGGATGTTGGCCACAGCCGCTGCTTTCATTACAGCCAGCGCCCAGAGCAGGAGCCACCTCATGCCTGGAAGTCTGTGGCAGAGGCGTCCACTGAGCAGCCCAGCAGATCCAGCCGCCTCTGGGGGGAGCTGGGTCCACACTGGCCTGGCCCATCAGGAGCTCCAGCTATGCCTCTTCCTCCAGCCCTTGGGGGCTTTTCTTAAAGCAAGATCTGACGTCAGGGTTAAGGACAAACCCTGCATTTTCCTCTGAAAAAACTTTTCCTGGCTCTCTCCCTTTTTTTTTTCTTGCTTCCCCTCTGTCCCCACCTCCAGCCCCAGCTTGGCCAGCCTCCCTGGCTCTGACAATTCTTAAAGGGAAAGTTGCAGACTGTGATTACACCCTGGGGTGCTGCCTTCCCATGAAGGGGCTAGGGTCTTTCTGCAGAGGTATCTCACCAAGTAGGGACAGGGCACTCTGCAGGAAAGTGGAGGTACAGTTACCCAGATGGTGCTTTTGAAAGGGATCCCAGAGGGAACATAAACTCCTTCTCCTTTCGACTGCTCCTACTTCTGGTCTCCATTTGTCATCCTTGGTGCCTCTGTTCCCAGCTGCTAGCAAAGGACAGTGGCTTTGAGACCACTCAGCAAGAAAGAATCTGTTGTTGTTAATTGCTGTCTGGTAAATTCTGTCGCATAGTGACCCTGTATTGAGTTTCTGAAGAGCGGCTGGTGGGTTTGAACCACTGACCTTGAGGTGAACAGTCCAGTGCTAAGCCTACAGGCAAGAAATCTAGGACCTCACAAATGAATACAGACAGAGACTCATCATCACCAGCAGTAAAGAGTAAAGCTGTGTGGGGGCAATGCTGTTTCCATGGCAGTGTCCTGGGTTCAAATCCCAGACAGTGGACCACATGTACTGCCACCACCTGTCTGGCAGTGGAAAGGTCTGGCAATCTACTTCCAAAAACAGCCAGTGAAATCCCTAGGACCACAAGGTCCCATCTGCAACTATTTTAATTATCCAGTGATGTGGCGCTGTATGGTAAGTAAACGGACCGCAAGATAGGCGGTGGTGGTTCAAACTCACCAGCCGCTCCTAGGAAACCCTATGTAGGGTCGCTATGAGTCAGAACTGACTCGACAGCACTCAACAACAACTGTAACAGAGGGAGCACAGAGACTCTGTAAGATAAACACTGGACTGCAAGCCACAAGGATGGAGACTCGTGTCCACAGCTGCTCTGCAGGAGAAAGATGAGGCTTTCTACTCCCGTAAGGATTTACACCCTCAGAAACCCTGTACAGGGTCGCTATGGGTCGGAACCGACTCGAAGGCACTTCACAACAACAACAACAATGTGATGGCCGGAGTCCCTGTGTGGTGCTCTGGGTTAATATGCTCAACTACATGGTGGGTTTGAAATGTAAGGCCGGCGGTTCAAGCTCACCAGCCACGCCTCAGAAACCCTGTGGGTCGCTAGGTGTTGGAACCAACTCGAAGGCACTTAACAACAACAACAACAAATGTGATGGTTGGAACTGCAATTGTCTTGGCAGGACAAGATCAAATGATTTTGAGGGCCTTATACAGCCTGTGGGCTGGACGTTGCCCACCCCTGCTGTATAGGGCTGCTATGCTATAGGATAAGCACTCAACCTCAAACTTACCAAGGACTCCTTGGAAACCTTATACGGGGTCGCTATGTGTCGGAACCAACTTGACGACACTCAGCATCATGTGTATCTAATCCTGGTGTGGTACTTCAGGATCAGCACTGGACTTCGAACTACAAGGTTGGCAGTTCAAGCCCACTAGCTGTTCCTGGGAAACCCGATACAGGGTCGCTGTGAGTGGGAACTGACTGGACAACACTTAACAGAGTAACAACAACTATAAAAGATATCACAAGTGGAGGGCTTTAACAAACATGGCTCCCCTCTCAGTTTAGGGGGCTACAAGTCTCAGTTCACGGTGCCGGCTCTGGGGGCAGGGGTCCTTGGCTCCTTTCTACATCTGTGGTCTAAGTATTCCTTAGAGATCTTCCCCTGGGTCTAGGATGTTCTGGGTCCACTCCTGGTGACAGTAGTGGACCCCCACTCACTTGTTTCAGCTCTTCAATATCTCAGAAGAGACTGATTCAAAATACAGGCTAATAATCCCGGGGATGATATCTTCTACATGACCATGATGGGCGTGTGCCGTGCAGTCATTTCTGACTCATAGCGACCCCGTACAGGGTTTTGGAGGCTGTAAATCTTTACAGAAGCAGAAAGCCCCATCTTTCTCCCACAGAATGACTAGTAGTTTCCAACTGCTGACCTTGAGGTTCGCAGCCCGTAACTACTATCTACCAGGGTTCTTTCTTCATTACCATAACTACTTCTAATCCTGCCTCATGATCATCACAGAGGTGAGGAATGATAACACATAGGATAATGACAACAGGTCACAAAGGGAGCTAACTATGCAATAGTGAGAACGAAGGCCTAGCCAAGGGGACTCATATTTGGGAGACACAATTCAATCCAAACCAGCAACCCACTATGGAGATGACGCAGGGCTGGGAACACTCTGTTATGTGATGCATGGGCATGGGAAGACAGGAGAGAGTGAACTTGGGGAGCCTTCCCCAGTCCAGTCACCACCATCTCTACCATGGACTCTAAGAACCAAATCCGGTGAAACACACTGCACATGGACTTCATTAAGGGACCACCCATAGTATAGTTGTCAGTTCAGCTCAATGACCTTTAGTGAACACCAAGTAGGGACAGGCCCAGCACTGTGAAATGGCTAGTGGCTAATGTGCTCTGCTCTTAACCAGAGGAGACTTGGAAGAAAGGCCTGGCAACCATCTTCTGAAAAACCAGCCACTGAAAATCCTGTGAAGCCAGTCCTACTCCCATAGACATGGGGTTGCCATGAGTTGGGCATGACTGTTTTATTCTAGGTTCATAAGCCTGTTGTTAGTCCAGCTGTACTTTCTGACCGCTGCTTCGGTTTCCCCGGTGTACCTCCTTCAGGTTCTGCCTAACTCTCCACCAACCCCACCTGCTGCTACCAGCAGGCTCAGAATCCCCTTAGAGGGACAGAAAAGTTTCTCTGAGTTGGGGACTTGTCCTTCAATTGTAGTGGATGCTATTGTAGTCTAGCAGGTGGATCAGTGCTGCCACCACAGGCCAGAGGTGGACTCTCCACTCCTGCCATTACTGCTGTGTGACTTTGGAGCAGTCACACAACCTCTCTGTGTTCTGATTTCCTTGTCTAGAGAGAATGGGACTGGTCCAGGCAGCCATCACTCTGTTCCAGAGTGAGCGCAGCAGTAGGGTTTATGGAACATGTTAGAAGCAAGGATGGTGCAACTTCATCACTCGACACGCTGTCCCTGGAGGAGGACATCATGCTTGGTAAAGTAGAAGGTCAGCAAGAAAGAGGAAGACGCTCAATGAGTTGAACTGACACATTGGCTGCAGCAATGGGCTCAGACAGGACAGTGCAGGACTGGGCAGTGTGTTGTACGGTTGGGCATAGGGTCGCTATGAGCTGATACCAATTCGACGGCACCTCACAATAGCAAAGCACATAGGAACTGCTCAACAACCTCACCAGCCTACCTGTGAGGACTATTACTACCTCTTGTCTTCTGGCTGGAAGCACCTGGAGAGCAGGATTTAGATGAGGGTACCTCTGTTTCCCACATCCAGGTCTGACACACGGTAGATACGTAAGCTCTTGGGTAGATCCTTTCTTGGCCTGAGCAGAGTTTCCAGTAGTTTCTCTAATGGACCTCCCTGGGCAGCTATACATAAATTCCAAAGCAGGGCTGCTGGAGGGATTTGCAGAGCAGACACCAGGCATGACTTAGCCAAACAGTATGTCTGTACTGACCAGTCCCAGACACATGGAAGATTCCAGAGCATCTCAGAGACAGGCTCAGGCCGGGCAGGATCTGCTCCCAATATATTTGTCATTTGTTTGTTTCACCGACTTCCTCCCCTCAAGCAGTGGCATCGCAAAGGGGGACCTGGGGGTGCAGATCACACGACGCAACTTTGCCACAGCGGGGTGACACCCAAATGGTTGTCTATAAAATGTTTGTGCCATGTTTCAGCAGAAATTTATGATTTTTAATAAAGCTATCTGGGTAGCTAGTTAATAATAAAAACTCATTTTTTGCAAGCCCATCTTGTTGTTGTTAAGTGTCTTTGAGTTAGTTATGACTCATTTGTTGTTGTTGTTGTTGTTAGGTGCCATTGAGTTGGTACTGACCCATAGCGACCTTATGCACAGAAGAATGAAACGTTGCCCAATGCTGGACCAACCTCACTACTGTTGCCACGCTTGAGTCCATCGATGCTGCCAGTTGGCCAATCCATCTCACTGGGGGTCTTCCTCTTTTTCTGTGACCCTCCACCTTACCAAACATGATATCTTTCTCCAGTGATTGGTCCCTCCTGACAATATGTTCAAAGTATGAGAGACAAAGTCTGGGCATCCTGGCCCCCAAGGAGCACTCTGACTGCTTACCCTATAGTGCCACACCAGTACACGTATCCATATACCTACAGGAATGTGTGACACTGTAGGATAAGCACTGGATCAAAAGGTCAGCTTGAACCACAAGGTCAGTTGTTCAAACTCACGAGTCAATCCTCGGAACCCCTATACAGGGTCGCTATGAGTTGGAACAGACTCGATGGCACACAACAATAACGACACAAGACTAAAACTCTACGCTGTCAGGAGGGACCAGTCCCTAGAAAAGAACATCATGCTAGTTAACTCACTGCTATCGAACTGAATCTGACTCACAGAGACTTTATAGGGTAAAGTAGAACTGTTCCCTAGGGTTTCTAAGACCATAAATCTTTATGGGAACAGCCTCATCATTCTCGCATGGAGTTGTTTGTGGGTTTGAACCACTGACCTTGAAGTTAGTAGTTAGCAGACCAACACTTAACGCACTGTGCCACCAGGATTCCTTATTTTGCTATTGGTGGTTTCTGATGCTGTAAATGTTCACAGGAGCAGAAAGATGTCATCTTTCTCCTGTGGATCAGCTGGTGGCTTTGAGCTG